TGTAGAGAAAAACATACTATGGTAATTTCTTTACAGAAACATATAAAACTCTTGTGTATCAAGAAAAAAAAACTTATTTTATTAAACCCAAAGAAAATAAGTTTCTGTGACTAACAGTGACCTCTTGCTAAACACTAAACACTAGAATATACTCAGCAACTCATATAAAAGACAGGCAAAGGGCAAGGAATTGTTTGTGGAAAAAGAACTAAACATTTCTGATAACCATACATAAATACAACATAAGAATGAGTAGAAATGTATGCTTTTGTGAAAGACACCAATTGTCCTTGACTGTGTAGTAAGCCAGCTGCTAACTCCATGTCTCATGTAGACAGCCATTTCTTTGTTCCCATATCTGCTTCCTGCTCAGGGATCAGCAGGACAGTTTCTCTGCTGGTCCCACCTAGAGGCATCCTATACCTACAGTCACCTAGAGACCTGTGTTGGTCTAGAAACATGCAGTGAGGTAAGTCAGGAGCTCTCTTTCTCCACCTTTGGGCCTTCAGACAAAGGGAACTTTCTAGTAGGCTCAAAGCCCAATGTCATCATGTTTATGACAACATGACCCAGCCCAGATTTGTCCCTGTAGACTACACAGAATGTAATACCAACAGGTGTGCTTCATTGGAGACCACCAACATAGCCACACTTCCTCATATTACTTTACATAGCTGGGTTTTGCTGTTGTGGTTTTGTTTTGTTTTGGGGGTTGTGGTAGTGGTGTTGCCTTTGACTCCCTCTAGAGTAGAAATTCTACTATGGATTCATCCTGTTTTGTTTTTTCAGTTTTATATCTATCTAGAATAAGATAAACTTTACTTTTGTAATAGTAAATTTTTATTGAATGAGTAAGTACAGTAAGATCTAGCTAGCTTATGCTAACAATGATTTGTAGTAGAAGCAGCAGCAAGTATTTGTGTGTGTATATAATAAACATAATAGTACTAGTAACTAGGAATTAAACTTCAAAGAAGCAAGGGCTGCTTTATTTTTAGTGTGTGTTTTTACAGATTTCTCACTGAGTCATAACTTACAGAGAAGTGGATTTTTCTTTTCTATTGAGATGTGTTTTCACAGATGGCTTCCTATGCAGCTCAGGCTGCCTCAGCTTCGTGCATGTAGAGATCATAGGCTTGTGCCACTGTGCTCAGCAGAGTGCTGTGCTGAGTATCTTAGCGACACCATTCTTTGTTCTAAGAGAATGCTTAGGTCAGAGTTACAGGCCTGGTTGGATAAGTAGGAAAATGCCAGATTATTTGGAAATCATATGAAATACTCCTGCTTTTATTTAGGTTATTAAAACAATGTTGTTTGGAGCCATATCCTGGTTGTATGTGCTATTTTTAAGCCAGACACAATAAAATAAAGTAGCAAGAATATTTATTTGTGACTCTGAACTAACATTCAAAACAATGTGGCAAACAAACAGTAGTTATAAGCTATTTTGAGTTCTCTGGTATCCCCTCTTTCCTGTTTGGTTCTTTGGCTGATGCCAGTATAGTAGTTATTACTCTTGTTTGTGTGACAAAATACCTAACAGTGGCACTTTAAGGAAGAGATAGTCTATTTTGGCTGACACTTGAGGGTTTATTATATCACTGTGGGGAAGTTATAGCAGAAGTATGAAAGATCTGGTCACATTGTTTCCCCAGGGAGAGATGCTAGTACATCTGGGAAAGGTTTGCACTGAGAGGATGGTACCACCCACATCCAGGGTGGGTCTGCCATTCTCAAATATCCTTCCTGGAGACAGTGAGTGCCCATGGGATTCTAAGTCTTATCAAGTTGATTATCAGATCACAGGTAATCATCACAAGTTGATGACCAAATATATAACACTTTATAGCATAGCATTCCGCCTCTGGTTCCTGACATCTGATGCTAATTTCTTAAAGCAGATTGCTTTTAGTCCATCTTTAAAAATCTCCAAATTCTTCTAAAAATAAAAAAGCTGGGTTGTGGTGGCACACACTTTAAATCCCAGCACTCAGGAGGCAGAGGCAAGCAGATCTCTGTGAGTTCTAGTCCAGCCTGGTCTACAAAGCTACACAGAGAAATATTGTCTAGAATAACAACAACAAAAATAAATAAATAAAATAAAATAAATTCTTTAACAATCCCAGTGCAGTTCAAAAGGTCAAACTCCTTTTTAACACTCAAGCAGTGTCTTAGCTTTGAGCTCCTAAGATAAACAATTGCCTATTTCCAGTATACAGTGGCATAGAGCAAACATTTCTATTTTCAAAGGAAGAAGGAAGGCATCACTAGCCCAATATAAATCAACAGTTCTCCACCTTCCTAAAGCTGTAACTCTTTAATACAGTTACTCATGTTGTAGTGACCTCAACCATAAAATTACTTTCATTGCTACTTCATAACTGTCATTTTACTGCTGTTATGAATTCTAATGTAAATATCTGTGTTTTTGATAGCCTTAGGTGACCTCTGTAAAAAGGTCATATGACCCCCTAATGGGGTAATGACCCATAGGTTAAGAATTTCTGGATAAGACAAAAATTGAAACCCAATAGGGCAGTAAACTAAACCCTTATAAGTCTGTGGTGGGCACCTGAAGCTCATGATAGAATCATCTTTGGGTTGATTCTGAGGGCTTGGGTATCTCTAGCCTCATCCCTCTGTCTCTGGTACCTTCAGCACATGTAGCTTTGCAGCTTTCCTTGGGAAGCATCCTATGGTTCTGGCATATTCAAAGTTCTGGCCTTAATTGAACTTGGGCTTCATTTTCCATTCATGCAATGGGCTCTTGTGGTCCTCTTACAGAGAATGTAGCTCTGCCACACACTGTCTGGTCTTAGTAGCTTTCTGGAACCTAGTCAAAAGCCTCCATTACCCTTTGCATCTTATGTGCCTGCAAAGCTGGCACCTTGTAGACATTGTTGCCGTTTCTGTTGTTAGGGGGAGCTGTTGCCTGCTCCCCTTGTACCACAAGTGCAGCAACCTCGTATTTTCTGACCCTTGGGAAACACCTATGGTGGTATTTGTGAACAAGGGATCCCTTTGAGTACCATTCTCAGTCCCAGTTCATTAATTTAAAACAATTTGTTTTCTCTCAAGACCTTCAGTGGGTGGTAGGTCTTGCCCTCAGGGTGCTTTCCCTGTTGTTCCAGTGAGCAAGAGAGTCAGTCCCCTTCAGTGGTGCTGGTCTCTAACACTTACAGATGTTTGTCCGCAGTTTACACTTAACCACATTCCTTTCTTCTCCAAACTTCACTTTTTGCTCTTTCTTGTGGTGGGCCTGGGTAAGAACAGATAGGATCCCAAGTGTTAGGCTGCCTTTTGACTTTCCTGCCATATAAATCAGTCCTTTACTTTTTAATCAAGCCTCACTTAAGTTCTCGGGACGTGGGCACAATGAAGGCAGATTCTTTACCAGAATATAGCATGAATGTCTTCTGGACAGTTAGTTACACTTTGAATGGATGAAGCCTGTTATGACAGGAACATGACGCAGATATTTTTATTGCATCAGAAACTAGTATTTTAGAGGTCCTGTGCAAACCATGTAACAAATTTAATAGCCACCTTAAAAAATTCAGTCAGGCAAAATGGATTGTAATTTTGTATACAGTGTGGCCTGCATGCTTTGTCAAAGTGAAATAAACATAAAAGGTGCTAATGATGTATTACACTGTTAGTTTTTTTAAAATCCTAACTGCTCTTGAAACCTACTATATAGTTTTTTACAGTACGCCTATATAAAAGCATATTTTAAGTGCTTGACAACTACATCTGGCTCTTGTAACTAGACCCCATATGCATAAGAGAAATTAAATATGGAAAAAATAGAAAATATCACAAAGGAAAATGACAGCATCGATGATAGGAAAATAATTTTAATAAAGGAGAAAGCAAGGTGAGAACATGTTAACAACATAATTATTTTTATTGTGTAAAGCATTTATACAGATTTCTTGGAACACTTGAAAGCCCAGAAAATGAATGTTAAGGTGACATAATCAAGCATTTAACAATAGTTAGTATAAAACATAAGTATTATAATCAAAGAAGGGAAATTGTCCCTGAAGGCATATTCAGTGTGAGATTGTTTGTCCATCATGTGCAAAAGCCCTCTTTGATTCTGGCACTGAAAAACATGCAAATTAAGATCTGTCAAGGCATCAGAGATTATGAAACTATAATTTTTAGGATACTCAGAGTGCAGTGAAAGTGTGTTCTTAGAGACTGTGAGAGGGACTGAAATATAGCAAAGCCCTTAAAAGGTAATAGCATCACAGGTAGCAGAACTTGTTTGCTAGTCCCTGCCATAAGGAAATCAAACTAACTAAAGAGAAGAGACCACATACATAAAGTGCTCACTTCTCTACTGTCTGTAATAATGGAAAATCGAGGACTACTGAGCTGGTGACATAGGGAGGTAGTCACTTGATTGGATTCTGAAGTAGTATAACGTTCAGTTCTTTTAGAATCCTACACTAATCTTATGTCAAATTTAGGAGATGAACCAGCCTTGTGCAGATAACAAGTCTAAGAATTTTATCACAATCATGTTTGTATTTAGGACTCTAGACTTCATATTTCCAGTTTTATTAAGATTCAAATGTCATAAACTTAGTATATAGTTTACTTTTAATTGGTAGAATTAAATTCACATTCAACTTAAGATTTCATCCCAAATCAAGGGTGCTCTGCTCACAGTCTCCTTATCAATTTATAAACTCCTAAGTACTGCGCTGAGCTAGGTATTGTACACCCCTGTGCATAGTCCACAAACTGAGGTTTGGCTCCATCTTTGTGACTAAAAGTTTTTACTTCTCAGTAAATTTGCCATTAGCTTATTTTCCTGGTGGCCTTCTTTCTGGCCTGATTGTGACCTCTTGAAAGGTAAAGCAAACATAATGTATAATCTCTAATTTTCTGAGGTTAAACAGCTCAATTTGCTCTCCTATTAGCTACTTATTTTTATATACTGATTTGCTCTTTTATAGTTTTGGTTAATTCTTTCTCCATTGTTTAAGGTTATCCTGGTCCAAGTTAACCCAGGGGAAGCATTTACAATAAGAAGAGAAGATGGGCAGTTTCAGTGCATCACAGGTAAGAGGAGGAATTTGGTACATTTGTAACAAAAAAGCAAGTCCACAGTTCCTTTTTCTAGTAGGTACCAGTTGTTATGCTTGTGGTTTTTCCCTTTGTCACTATCTCAAAGTCTGAGTTCTTGGACATTTAACTATTGCAATAGAGCTCTAACTATGCTCTTTGTCATTTCTTGATTGGTCTGACTATAAAATTCTATTGTGTACATTTTTGTAATTAAAAAAAATGGGATTAAAAGTGTGTGCCACTATTACCCTTGTTAACTACATCTCAAACCTGTCTTGCCCTGTCAGCAAGTTTTTGTATCTAGACGTCACCACCTGTTCCCACATTCAAGCCTATTCAAACTCAGCTGCACTAAACTCATCTCAGCACTTCTGGACTGGGGTATTTCTCAGCTGTTGGGAGCCATCCCTTGAATTGTACTGCATTTGGTAAGGGTCTCTGCCCTCTACCTGATAACCATTTCTTCTTACCCTCTGTGATATATGGCAAATAGAAATCTACCCAGACATCACCAAATACCCTGTGAGGGGAAAAAAAAAAAAAAAAAAAAAAAAAAAAAAAAAAACCACCTCCAGTTGATGTCTGCCTACATGCCACTATGCATCCTGCCATGACAATAATGAACTAAACCTCTGGACTGTAAGTTGGCAGACATGGTGCTCGAGAGGTAGCTGAGAGGTCTACATCCAAATCAGCAGGTAGAGGAGAGAGTTGAGACAGTGGGCCTGGCTTAAGCATCTGAGACCTCAAAGTCCACCTCTAGCAACAACACACTTTGAGGTGTTACCTACTCTAGCGTTTAATAGTGCCACTCCCTGTGGTCCTCTGGGGGCTATTTCATTCAGACCACCACATTAACTAGTAAGGTATGCTGTACTGTAAACTGGACCTGGTACCTCTAAGGCACTCAGTAAGTGGAGTAGTGAGTGCTGCGTTAATGAAGGTGAGCCCCATCTCCTCTGAAACCCTTGACACCAGCTGTTGAGAAACTGAAGTACCAAGTACCTGTTTGCAACGTGACTTTCAGTTGTGTTTGGAATTGTGTACGTTTATGTTCAATTTGAAAATGCTTATTCCATCTTCTTAACTAAAACCTGAACACTTTGGAGTTTTATTGTTTACATTTCTTTGTTGTATCCCTTTTGGTTCTTGATTGCCTAACTAATAGTAATGGCTTGGATTTAAAGAATCCATGGAGGTGAGTCACCATATACTTTGTCCTCATCCAAACTGTTGTGCCTTTGAGGGTAAAGGACTTGCACACAGTCTGAGTCCTATCAACCATGACTGCCACAGGCAAACTGGATTCTCAGTGCCCCTTTCCTTTCACTTACCTGGCTTGCCTGTTGAATCTTTGAAAACTAACTCCTCTTTCTGGAAAAATAACTAACCCAGTAGTCACAAATAAAACTTGAAAGCTTAAGTGTGTTAGAAATTTTCTAAGGCAGTGTAAACAACTGGAGCAGCAGTTGAGGTGATGCATAAATAAGTTATATTCTTTAAAGGACCTAGGCAAGAGACGTATAAACTCTCTCTCTCTCTCTCTCTCTCTCTCTCTCTCTCTCTCTCTCTCTCTCTGTGTGTGTGTGTGTGTGTATTGAGAGAGAGCTTTGCCAGTCGAATTTTGTGTTTTCACCATGACCCACATCAAATATAAATTTCTGATCACACAGCTTACTTGTATGCCTTTCAAATTATTTTTCATAAATATTATTTATCAAAGAATCATTTTAATTAATGTGGCATTGATTTTCACCAATACATTAGCAGATGAAGATAGTTTTATTGCATTTTAAAACACAAGGACTGCTAATTGCAGTTATAGCCAGACCCTGAATAATAAACAGCTTATATTTGAAGCGTTAGTTTGTGGCTGTCTCTTCTGAACTTATTTCAGTTGATTTTGATATCTAGCAGAGATGCTGTCCTGCAGGTCCAGAAGAGCTGTGTACAGTCTACCTCAGTGCTCACCAGACCCTGATGGGTGCTAACTCCCACTTGTGCATTCCCTATGAGGACACATGTCTGTGCTTGGTAAACAGTCCTTTCTCTGTATGATTAGGTAATAAAAATGGAAACTTTGTTTTAAAACTGCTGGGTAGCCTTTTGTTTTGTTTTGTTTTTTTAATGAAACAGACTGTAAAAGCATTCTCCATCTTGCATGTTTTCCTCTATCTAGAATTATCAGGCTTGCTGGCTAGTTTTACGTCAACTTGACACGAGCTGGAGTTGTCTGAAAGAAGGGAACTTCAATTGATGAAATGACTCCATAAGATCCAGCTGTAGGGAATTTTCCTAATTAGTGATTGATATGGAAGGGTCCAGCCTGTTGTGGGTGGAGCCACCTGGGCTGCTAGTCCTGGGTTCTGTATAAAATGCAGGCTGACCAAGCTATAATGAGGAAGCTAGTAAGCAGCACCTTCCATGGCCTCTGAATCAACTCCTGCCTCCGGGTTCCTGCCCTTTTTGAGTTCCTGTCCTGTCTTCCTATAATGATGAGCAGTGATTTGGAAGCATAAGCCACATAAGCCCTTTCCTCCTCAGCTTGCTTGTGGTCATGTTTCACCATAGAAATAGAAATGGTACTAAGACATCAGGTATGTAGGTGAAAGGAATAGGACTGAGCAAGCGAAGGCTGGTTTGCAAGAATGACCCCAGGAGGGAAAGCTTACTGATTACTCGGTCTCATCTCCTCCCGTCTACCATCAGAACTGTCTGTAATTTGCCAGGACCCTTCCTGGACTAGTACTGCCGATAGGATAAAGAGCAGTAGTAAGAGAGCAGGCACCCAGAGAAAGTCTCAAGGGAGGAGAATTGGGGCAGTGAAGCTTAGAGGAAAAAGGTTCCTTGTGGCCTTTACTATTCTCGTAACAGAACTCTCTAGAGGAGCATGTAGAAAATGAGGTAGTCTAGCATAAATAAGTCTTTGAATTAGAAACCTAAATTGTCACCACCTTTGATTGAAGGTTCATACTTTGAGATAGTTACGGAGTTATGGGTAGAGCTTAATGCAGTACCATTTTTACCACGGCATACTTCCGTGGAGGGGAAAATAACTAGTCATATTTTCTTTGTGAATTTATTAAATCTCTTGAAATGTACTGTGCTAGTTCCTGGGAATTTGGGGGAAATCAAGACACAGTTCTTATCTTTTATCACCACAATGTAATAAAGCTAGGGATGTAGCTTAGTGGAAGGACATTTGCCCAGCAAGGCCCTGATTGGACTCCAGCCCTGAAAACGAAACAAAACAAATGAGTTTATTAGTTAAGGAAAGAAAAAGTGAACAAGTCTATAAGAATAAACAGCCAGCCCGTTTAGTACACATGGTATTACAAAAACATACAAGGGTCCGGTAATAGTTACGAACAGAGAATGCTCTTCCGAGATGCATGAGCTGTCTTCAAGGAAACTGGCAGTTGGCAAGGAGGACGAAGAGTCTACAGGTTTTAGAGACAGTAGTGTTTAGAAACAGCAGGAGGGATTGAATTATTGGATGACCACAATGAGTAGAATTGCTAAGAGAGTATAAATGGGAGTACAACTGGAGATGGGGCTGAAATGGTGATGGTCCCTGAGGTGACTCACACAGCATGCTGAGGACTTGAACTTTATTGTGAGGGTGTGGAAGAAGCTTTAAGGGAAACGGAAAGCTGGACACTTGTTGGCCTCAACCTGCCGCTGCTGGGATTACAGCTGTGTGCTGGCATGGGTCGACCACACTGAGCTTTCTGAACACTCCTGCCCCTTTGATCCTTGGTGACTGCTCCCCAGTTCATCTTTCTGCTTATTGGTTGGCTTTCTTTATACTGCCAGAGTGCACCTGTGCCACATTGACCAGTGGATCTCTATCTTCCTGATGCTTCCAGCCTTTAGTACAGTCCCTCTTACTGTACTGCCCCAACTATAATATTTAGTTCCTACTTCATAGGCAAAACTCTGTCTCCAAAAATATATACATTACAGCTCATAACAGTAGCAACATTACAGTTATGAAGTAGCAATGAAATGATTTTATGGTCGAGGGCCATGTGAACATTAGTATTCATAACAGTAGCAAAATTATAATAGTGATAAATACTGATGTGTAGTTATGTCTTCGGTGTGATGATTTAGAATCTTTTGAGTACATGCTCAGGAATGGTAGAGTTAGAATGCATAGTCTTGCTAAGTTTAGGGTTTTAAAAGTATTTGTTTATTTTGGGGTATGTGTATCATATATGTGGGTGGTTATGAGTGTACCATAGCACACACTTGGAAATAAGGAGGCAGTTTGAAGTTTCTGTCCTTAAACCATGCAGCCTCTGCCAATCAAACTCATGTTGTCAAGCATTGTAAGTACCTATGCTTGCAGAACTGTCTCACCAGCCCCCAAGTTTAGTTCTCAGGTGTCCTCTAACCTGATTATCACAATGGATGTGGGATGCTTCTGCTTCCCTTCCCTCCAGGGATGTACAAGGGTTCCTCTTCCTCATAGCCCTCAGCTGTTCACCTGTGGTGGGATGGAGTCTTAAAGGAGTTTTGATTAGCCCATTTATTGATTGTATTTCACGTTTATTTTGTTGTTTTGTTGTTAGTTGGTGTGTGTGTGTGTGTGTGTGTGTGTGTGTGTGGTTCCTTTTTAGAATTCTTTATTCATCCCTTGTTAGTTAGATACTTGAAAAATACTTTCTCCCATTCTTTTTAACTTCTTGCTGTCCCATTGTCAATTCCTGTGATTTTCTGTTGAAGTCTGTCTTATACCAAGGTCACTATTGCTGTGATGAAACACCATGACCAGAAACAATTTGGGGAAGAAACGGTGTATTTGGCTTACACTTCCACATCATAATCCATCACTGTAAAAAATCAGAACAGAAAACAGGGCAGGAACCTGGAGGCAGGAGCTGATGCAGAGTTCATGGGGAACATTGCTTACTGCTTGTTCCCCATGACTTGCTGAGCCTGCTTTCTCAGGACCACCATCCCAGGGAATGGCTTCCTCCACAATGGGC